TAAAGACACTGTGATGCATTATGAAATCAAATAAAAAATAAGTTAAAATGATGAACAATGAGAGTTTAGGTTAAAAAGTTAGTCAAACAGTAAGATGGTTGATGAAAAGTACCTTGAATTTTGTGTGCTCCTCGTTGAGACTGTTCAAGTCACTTGGTGAGTCACGAACTCAACTTGGTAAACTAATCCCCCATAACCCTAGAATCATAAGCTACATCATTTATTTGAAGCTTTCAGGGGTAGTTGACTTTCTTGTAGACATTGGTTTGACCAAAGACGAAATGATTGGGGAAATCCGGGTTAAAAACGCCGATTATGGGATACATGTGAGAAATAATTACGATCCACAACTGAGTTTATATCTTCGTTAGGGTTAACGAAAAATCGGATCTACAAAAGTAGCGATTAATTCTCGGAAGTTATGTGTAGATCCATGGATAAGATTTTGAAGCCAAATCTTAATTATTTGAAAATCTGTGGGTTTGATTTGGGGTAGATAGCAAATTTATTGGGGCGATATATAGTGATTTTGATTAAGAGTGTTAAGAATTTGTTGGAAGCGAGGATTGGGTTTTTGGTGGAGGTGATGGATCAGGGGATTGAGGAAGTTTTGGATTATCCCGAGTTTTTTAATATGATTTGAAGAAGCGACTTGAGAGACATGAGAAGCTTTCAAAACTGAAAAATGCTTCTTGCAGTGAGCTCAAAACTCGAACCAATCGTGAGACCTAGAGGAGAGAGCACAAAGGTAAAGGAAGGCGGGGTACTTCAAATTTTTGGGGGATTTGGTTTTCCCCCTTAAGGTTAGGCGCGTATTAAAAAAATTATAAAACGACATCTCTTTATGACACCCATTTAATTTAGGTGCCCTCCATGTTTGTAATTTTTTTTATTTGACACTAATTTTAGGGCAGGCACAAATGCGTATCCTTTATCCTTCAAATTTTGGAAAGCTGACATTATTTTTAAGACACACAAAAAATACGTATCGTAAATCAGTGCGTGTCATTGTTCGCGCGTCATTAAATGGTTGTTTTCTAGTAGTGCATCTTGGTCTTGGAAGTGGAAAATGGAAATAGAAATAGAAAAGAAACTAATTAAATGATAAGATAAGAAATGATACTTATGATATGATATGTTATGCATGAAATGATTTTTCATGTCAATGATTGAAAATGCTTTATGGTCTAAAAGCCACGTTGTTCACGATATATTTTTGTCTTACATGTCTCTTTTTAATGTCATGTATTACATGTTGCACTTAATGCCATGTATTCCATGTTGCACTTACAGAGTGGAACTTGATAAGTTCATTATGAATTGTATTTATGTAATTCTTATTTGCTTGCTATGGTTGTATTGATGTTTAATAGTAACATTCAATGTTTTAATTGTAAATGTTTCTGTTGGACCGAGTTTTTATGAAATACGGGTTAATTCCCTAAAAGATTTTATAACAATAGCTTTGAAAATTTTGGGGCGTAACAAAAATGATCACATACTTGGCATTTTGGATTCTCGTTACGTTTTCCACCGCAATAGCAACTAGAGCCACAAACACGAAACCCCCATGATGTGTGACCTTACTGATTAGAACCGCCATTGTTACACCAAGAAGATGTGTAGGACTGACCTTGGCATTGGGATTATGCAACAAAAGTACCAAAAGTGCAGTCATTCACTGCATGGATTGTTGGAGAAGTTCAAAGTTTTTGATATATGCAAGATCTCAAAACAAAGGGAATGGAACGAGCGTTGTTTGAGTAGCAACAAATGCCATAAAAGTAGGTCTAAGGTTGCATAAAAACCATTGAGATTCATCGAGTAAATTACACGATTCGTCCCTGGTCCAAATGCTAAATTGCACGTTCTATACCTATTTTCAAACTTAACTCGGACCGTCCCTGTATTATCTTTTTTTCACTCGGGTTGTCCCTATGGACATAAAATGACTATTTTGCCCTTAATAATTTTTTTAATAATTTTTCTTTTATTAATTTATAATTTTTAGATTAAAAAAAAAGAAAAAAAATATATCTTTACCCAAGAACACCCTAAGTCCCTAACCCGTTCCCTGATTTCCTCCTGCCCATTCGTTTCCCTCTTTGTCATTCGCCTCCATCCCCGTTCAAAACCCTAGACCCACCTGCATCATCGTTTGAAATACGAGAATCTGAGGTACAGAGAGGTGCGGGCGACGATGATTCAGTTGATGGCGAACAATAGATGGTTCGACGATGGCGGCACATTTCGAAGCCATGGTCATCTTCTTCGAGTTTGCTTCTCGTTTGGGAGTTGAAGCCATGTACATGATTTCTCTACATTTCGAAGCAGACCACCTTAAGTTAAACCCAACCCTCTCTTTCTCGATTCTAGTTCACTACGGATCAAGATTAGAGAACCCCCTCTTTAATTTGGGCTTTATTTATCTCAGTGAAGTGTAGAGAGACAATGAATTGCAGGTTATGGTGTAATGAATTGTCGAACAGGGGACAATGGTGATGGTGATTGCAGAGTTGGTGGTTCCACCGGAGATTGTGGTGATGAGGCGACATTGGTGGTTCCACCGGAGGCTGTAATGATGGCAATTCTCCATATCCAGAAATCTTCTACGACTCTCTCACCAGAGATTGTGATCACATCAGGTAGTTACAATGGTTGGAAAATGGTATCATTCATCTGGTATACGAAGGTGGTATTTTGGTGGTGATGGTGGTGGGTCGAGATTCTATAGGTGGTGTTTGAAGTGATCATAGGTGGGTTTCTCGGTGGAGGTTGTTTGAGGTGATGTTGCTGGTTAGGTGGTTAATGGAGGTTCACGATTAGTTTTTAACTGGTGTTTGTACAAGAGGGTGGCGATGGTGAAGGAGGTGGTGGTTTGTGGTTCTTTTCTGGGAAACATGTATCATAAGGAGGAGGTGAAACGGGGTGCCTCGATGGAAGGAGGGTGGTGGTCTTGAGCTTTGAACCAGGGAGTGGAGTGGAGTGGAGTGGAGTGAGGTGAGGGTAGATTTTCAGGTGGCGGCTCAAGCTCAGATTTCCGGTGATATTGGTGGTGGTTAAGTGTTCTTCAATAAGAGAGAGAGAGAGAGAGAGAGAGAGAGAGAGAGATTAGATTGACCTATAATTTTATTTAAAATATTTTTAATAATTAAAAATGATAAAAATAAATGAAAAATAAAATTACAAAGGGCATTATAGTCATTTTATGTCTCGCAAAGGATTAAACGTGTAAATTTAAACTAACGAGGGATCAAACGTGCAACTTTTAACTAAATGAGAGATGATCTGAGTTAATTTTTGAAAATAGGGACTGAACGCGCAATTTAACATTTGGACTAGGGACAAATCGTGTAATTTACTTAGATTCATCACATGTATTTACTAGATTTCCAATGGTACCGATTTGGTCGCACAAAGATTTAAATTGACAACAGTATATGGAAACAATTTTGTATCCTCTTTTGATAAGTCAGAGGTTATCTTCAAGCCGAAGTTCATGCGGTTTAGAATGGTAACTATATGCGACTTCGAGAGTCGTCCAAACTACATGGGAGATGCTACAACTTAGTGTTTCTGCGGTGGCATCGTTTGAGAGAAAAAAGAAGAGTCTTAATTTTTATTATCACAAGAGATCCACTCAGTATGCTTTGAATTTAAAATAAGGAAAAATGTGTCTTAAGGACGACCTTATGTTGTACTAGGAATGAGAGGTGGGGCCCGGAATGGAGCCATCGATAAAGGAGAGAGAATCTTCATATTTGAGAAGAAAATTTACATGTTTCTTCCACAAAAGATAATTGGAGAACGAGAGTTTGACCGAAAACATAAGGATCAATGTTGAATAGGGGATGGAATACAATGGAAAATCCAAAGATGATGAGAAATTTGTCGTCATTAAAGAAAGCTGGGCTAAAAAGAAAACATTAGGATGTCTCAAATAATAAGGTGCTGCCATGTGAATATTTATAATCTCATCATTTATGAGAAAATCATTCTTAATATATAAATAAGCAATACAAGAGAAAATGCATGAGAAGATTACTCTATCTACTTAAAAGTTAAGAGAATAAAGGAAAATACAAGACTAGAAACGACGGATAATATTATCCATTTATTATAATTATTACTTTTGTATACATAAATCGAATTATCGTCTATTAAAAACTTACAAATGGAAACCGAAGATATCTAGATAATGATAGTTTTACAAAAAAAACAGTGTAAGAATAAATTTGAAGGATAATTATTAATCTAAAAAGAGAAATTAAATGTATTTTTATTTTTGTTCCTTGTTTATTTTCTTACTTATATAAAATCATGATATTTGTGGAATCCATTAATTTTATTTTTTAACCAATTTGTTTTATTTTGATATTTGTCTTAATCTAATAAATTAGAATATAAATGAAAAATAAAATAAAAAGATATTTGATTTCTCATCTAGAACCAGCGGTATTCTAAAATAGAAAGGTTACTTGGTTGATTCAAAATTAAAAGCAAATCGGATAATCCAACAATATTTCATGATTTTAGTCCGAAATGGGACTTATATATCCCGTCCAATGATAGAATGCTTAATTTGAATACAATTAAAAGTTTACTTTTACTATTATTTCAAATATTTAAGAATACAGTTTTATAATTAAATTTAATTAAGTAAGTATTTATACATATAAAAAAAAAAAAAAAAAATATCGACTACTAACTCTGTTTTTTTGCCTCTAACCAATGCTGTAATTTTTTTCCTCTAACAAAGCAGGTAACTCTTTTCGTATTTTCTTTAGCAATTTATGTAATACACGATGTACAATAAATTCAAAGAAGTGGAAAAAAGGTCAATACAAAGTCAAAGTTAATCACGTCCTTTTCAACCTCCTTCAAAATAGAATCAAATATCCAATTTCTTTGCATTTATTTTTAATTATCACTCCCAAATTTCTATAAATACCCAATCAACAACCTTCCTTTCCAATACCCCGCTTTACTCTCTCTCTCTCTCTCTCTCTCTCTCTCTCTCTCTCTCTCGATCGAATGGCGCCGGTAGTAGGAGGAGGAGTTGCCGGAGAAACATTCCACAAAGTGAACTTCGCCGCCCCAAGAAGCTTCGCGGCGGCGTTCAAGTCTGATTTGAAGGAAACCCTCTTCCCAGACGATCCATTCCATGACTTCAAAGGGAAGCCATTGCCGATAAAAGCCAAGAAAGCTTTACAGTATTTCGTTCCGATCTTCGAATGGCTCCCTAAATACACCCGCAAACTGTTCATGTATGATCTTTTAGCCGGAATCACCATTGCCAGCCTCGCCATTCCTCAAGGCATCAGTTACGCTAAACTCGCTAACATTCCCCCCATCATCGGTTTATGTTAGTTTCTTCCCCATTGTTCTTGCTTCTGGTTTTTTTGTAACGATTCATGCAAACATAATTTCAAGAATTTTGTATCCGTTTTCCTTTAACAGATTCGAGCTTCGTTCCTCCTCTAATCTACTCGGTGTTTGGAAGCTCAAAGCATCTTGCTGTTGGAACAGTAGCTGCTAGTTCATTGATCATAGCTGCAACCATTGAAGCAAAAGTGAACCCAATTGAAAACCCACAACTCTATCTTAATCTAGTCTTTACTGCTACACTCATCTCCGGTGTAACTCAGTTGATTCTTGGTGTTTTCCGGTGAGTTTATGGACTCATAAAGATTCCAATTAATTTCATGTTCTAAGTATAACAAATTCATCTAAATTATATATTAGTTAACTAATGTACTATGATGTAATTAATTAAATAGGCTTGGAATTTTGGTCGATTTCTTGTCACATTCTACGATCACTGGCTTCATGGGAGGGACAGCAACCCTTATTTGCCTTCAACAATTGAAAGGCATTTTTGGTTTGAAGCATTTTACTACGCATACTGATATGGTATCCGTTATTCGTGTCATCTTGAAGAATAGAAAAGAGGTATAGATATAGTAATATTAATATATATACGAAACAGATTTATTATAATTGAAAGAATTATAAACAATATAATTATACGGGTCTTAAGAAGGCCCCATATATTGTTTATTTTTTGTCAACTGATATATACTTATGTGTCCCGCTTCTTTGGATTTACATGTTTGATTTGATAAGAATACGTGGCCCGTTTTCTTACTATGTTTGTTGTTACAAACACATGTTATCTCGTGTTATAGATGTTTGTGGTTATTCTTGAGTAACACATGCATGTTATGTCAATTTAAGGCTCTCTTTTAAAACGATGATAACAATTGAAGTGACAATAACAATAATTGCAGTAATAATTCACATGTCGTGTTTCGAACACAAACAATACTCTACGTAACTATCTGAAAACAATTTTCTACTTTTTTTTGGAAGAGTTAACTCAAACACCTACTAATTCTATTCCTAAATATACATATATACACCTTTTCAACATATTTGATAATCCTACGTCATATGCCCTTTGGTATTTTTCTAATTTTCTTTAATTATTATGTTTTTCCAGATAAGATGGGAAAGCACTGTAGTGGGTGTAGTTTTCCTCGTCTTTCTTCAATTCACAAGATTCGTGGTAAGTAATTTTCTAATACCAACGATTTTAATTACAAATTTGAAACTCCCTAAATTTTGGTTTGCATCATTTTTGTCATTAATCATGCGAATGGATGTAGTGACAACATACATTCATAGTAAAGAAACAAAAGAGAAGTTATTGCTTCTCTTTTTAGTGCTACAATTTCTTATCACTAAATATGACGCTTGTGATATTAATGACGTGGAATTTTTCTTAATAAAGTTGTTAATACACGATCGCAAAAATGGATTTTCAGAAGCAAAAGAAACCCAAGCTATTTTGGGTGTCAGCAATAGCTCCCATGGTGGTCGTGGTAACAGGATGCGTCTTTGCTTATGTAGCACATGTTGAGAAACATGGAATTGCCATTGTAAGTTTCTTACTCTTATAATCTCCAAAATTTAACAATATTTATATTGAATATATAATTTAATTACAATATAGTAATATAGTAATATCTTATTAGAAAGAAATAATTATTTTTTGACTTTTCTGGATGAAAGTAAATATCAAATTAATTAAATTGAAGTTATGGAGTTTTTATGACGGAATTCACGTTTAATGTGGTTAACATATATGTATTTTTCTATTATCATCATGTTAAAGAGACTATTTAAATTAGAAATTTCCTTTTATCAATGAAATTTAACTAAATAAGTTGTTTTTTCCTTAAAGCTGTATGATTAAAATATTTTTAATGTTGTGATTTTGTCAATAAGTCGGATTTGGCAAGAGTTGTCCAATTTTGAAGCGTTACATGTAATTGCTTTACTGTGAACACTTTTACTAGGAAGTCCACTTCCACTAACAATTGTTCCCACCAAATTATTATTTTCTTAATTTGTATGCCACCTTTTAGTTAATTGTCAACCATAGAATTTATTGTGGTATTAATATTACCACTTTTTACACGGATGATATCCATATTTTTAGAAAAAACAAACTTTAATTTGTTCTGTTTATATATTTTTGATGATGATTTTCAGTTTATGGATATAATTTGTCAAATAATTGAATAGCAGAATTTAAAAAAAAACATCGGTTATTGATCACCAAGATTCAACATAATCTCATTATATATTTTAATATTTTTCCAATATTTTATTATTTTTATTTTTAATTAAGCAATAATCATTTATAAGAAAAATCTTTAAAACTAGTTGATTAGTGTTATAGATTCCCACTCTTTTAGCATATTAACTTTTGACAAATAGACCATCTGTCGACATTCTGATTTTGTGAGTTAGATTAATTAGATACATATAACTTATTGCAACCTATAGGTATTATACTACTATATAATGAAAAGCAATTTTTTAAATCCTACAAAAGGTATATTTTAATCTTGACATGCATCCTATTACAAGACCACACCATACCTTTCACTTCTTTATGTAAAACCTTTCTTTTTCAATACTTATAGACAACTAAATTCCGATTTCTTACTAACAAAGTAACAAACCAAAAATCTATTAGAAAAGAAGAGTTCTTTATTAAACAAAAAGATCTGATATTTTCTATGATTCATGGGGATTAATTAAAAAGGTTTAATTTTTTTTAATGAAAAAAAAAACGTATAATTGATTATATATGGTGAATTAAACAAATTTCGTTGCAGGTGGGTGACTTGAAAAAGGGAATTAATCCTTCCTCCCTCAAAAATTTGGATTTTGATCCCAAATATCTATCAGCGCCTATACAAGCAGGACTCGTAACAGCCATGATTGCTCTTGCTGTAAGTACACATATTTATTTTCATAAAAATAACATTATCTAATATAATTAAATATAATAACAAATTTATAACTGTTGGTATTAGTTTACTAATTCCTCGTGAACATATATTATTATACTTCTATTATTTAAAAGTTATGTGAAAAGATTATTTATAAATTATAATAACATTTTGGGTGCATGTTGCAGGAAGGAATAGCAATCGGAAGAAGCTTTGCCATAATGGAAAATCAGCAAATTGATGGAAACAAAGAGATGATAGCTTTTGGTCTCATGAACATTATTGGATCTTTCACTTCTTGCTACTTAACTACAGGTTAATTTTTTCTTCTTCTTTTTTCCAATTCTTTTAAAAAATAATTACTTTCTCTTAATTATCCTAAACAATACTTTAAAAAATGTTTTGTTTTCTGCAGGACCATTTTCAAAAACCGCAGTGAATTACAACGCAGGGTGTAAAACACAAATGGCAAATGTAGTTATGTCAATATGCATGATGCTTACATTATTCTTCTTAGCACCCCTCTTCAGTTACACTCCTCTTGTTGCCCTTTCTGCCATTATCATGTCTGCAATGCTTGGTCTTATTGAATATGATAAAGCTTATCATCTTTACAAAACCGATAAGTTTGATTTCATCATTTGCATGGCTGCTTTCTTTGGTGTTGCCTTCATTAGCATGGACGTTGGCCTCATGTTATCGGTATATATATTAATTTCTTCTAATAATTCTTGAAACATTTTCTTATTGTTATGTGTAATGTGTTACTTATTAATTATGTGAATGAAAAGTTGTAATTCTTTATATGTTACAGGTGGGTTTAGCGTTATTGAGAGCACTTCTATATGTAGCTAGACCAGCAAGTTCAAAGCTTGGGAACATACCTGACACTAGTGTATATCGAGATATGGAACAATATCCAGGAGCAATTGACATTCCTAAGACTCTAATTTTACAACTTGGTTCTCCAATTTACTTTGCGAATTCAGGTTACTTGAGGGAAAGGTATAAATTCTATTTTCCATTTTGATAATGTGATTAATATAACATTATCAAAATCTGACCTTTTTTGACATGATTTGGGATCTTTTGAAGGATTTTGAGATGGGTTAGAGATGAACAGGCCAAAAAAGCTTCTGAAGGAGATGATGTTGAGCATGTTATATTAGATTTTGGAGGTAAGATGCATAAGGTTTTGATCAATTACTATGAACTTAAGTGAATGTCATGAAATATAGAATCGTGGATGACCAACATATATATTAAGCAAGACTCTCAACGTAGCCGATGTTTAATATAATAATACTTGTTATGCCAATTTATCCAGGTGTCACATCTATTGATATCACGGGCGTTGAAACTCTTGTTGAAATTCGTAGAAGTTTAGAAGTCAAAGATATTAAGGTAATTAGCATATATCAGTTTATAATATTCTCCAGAATGAAACAAAAGTAATATTTGCTGGTAATAATTCTAAATATATGTTTATATGTGCAGGTTGTCATAGTGAATCCAAGACTCGAGGTCATGGAGAAGTTGATTGTTACCAAATTCATAGACAAAATTGGGAAAGAACGTGTGTTTCTATCTATTGAAGATGCAATTGAAGGGTGCAATTTTTCACTCACACACCAAAAGGATTGTGGTAGTGAAGAACGTTGACAATATAAGAAAACATTTTACTCATTTGTATTGCGAGAATAGGTGAAAAGAAGATGTATTGTATTTATCATCTATGTGGTTAACTGTAAATGCATGAACCGTTGTTGCGATACAAAGTTTGTCTGGAAACAAATAGTTAGTAAATAATGAGTGCAATTTGTAGTAAATAACAAACAAGAAGATAAATACTATAAAGCAACCAAATATTGGGTGCAAAGCTTACAAGAAAAACCACAAGATACTAGACTTTTATTATTAAATAATCGATAAAAGGAAGAAAAGAGAACTGTACACAATTCTTGATAGAGAGGGAGAAGAATTTAAGATGGTTAGAATGATTAAAATAAGTCTATAATTTTAAGCTAAGAAACTAAAATCCTAAAATTATGCAAAGACTTCTAACAAATGGTAATATTCCAAATCCTAAAGACTTGGAAACCAAGCAAACAAATAACTTCCAAAAAAGGATAATTCTACTCACATTTCAACAAACTCCACCTTCACACATTTTCAACAAGAAAACTTCAATCCCTTCAAAAACATTATACAAGTCCCAGTGCCATAATCAGTTAATCATTAAGGACTAACTAATCTTGAATATCAAACAAGTTTGAGCAAGGTGCAAACATGGACACTACAAAATGGCGTTGTCATTATATTAACAGCACTATCAATTACACTATTAGAAAATAGTCCTTCAAAAAAATACAAATTACGATATGAGAGGAGTTATGACAGACAAAAGAGTATGTCATAAAACAAATCTCATCTTTTTGTGAAATCTGAAATATTTATGACACACAAATATGAATGTCGTAAGGTTATGTCATGTTTCCATTAGATTTAGGACATAAAGTATGTCATGTTTTATGGTTATAAAGAAAATTTAAAAATAAATATACGCTTCCTTTTATATGTCACTCATTTTAAAACGTCGTCTTTTAATTTTCTCAAGTATATATTCCACTCATCAGAACCCTACCTAAATCTTTTTTTGTTTCAAACTTATCTCCATTTCTCTCTCACGATCGAAGGAACAAACCATAAGATATGTGTTTGGGTTTTAATGGTGAAAAGATGTAACTTGATCCTCTTCGTTGACTCACTTCACCAATGTTGCTGAAACTAGTCTTCTTCATCTTTCGAGATCCATCAATTCTCATAAACCATCACTAGAGGATCTTTTCTCAAAAAGCATTTCTACTCTCCTGTGAGGCTTCCCTATTGACTCATCTTTCGACTTAACGACGTCATTAAAAGTTACGTCTTCCCTCCTATGGCTTACATATAGGTGGTGGCGCACTCTAGGTGTAAGTTTTATCCCGATTTTACACTACCAACAAGGCTCAATTATGTTAACATATTGCTTTATATCGTAAAATGGATTATGTATGATGCATCCTTATCTTCTCTCGATTTTGATTTTATGAAAGAACTTGACCTACTCAAATATGTTGTGGAGTTTCCTTCCAAATTATATATGTTTTGTTAAGTGGAACCCTGAGAAGCTCTTAGAAGGATGCATAGTACAACTTCATCATGAATGAAAGTTTAGGACCCTTAATTGTTTTGTTCTCTCTGCCCTTTTTTATCGAGAGAGAAGCACAAAAATTATGTGTGTGTATGTGTGTGTGTGTATATATATATATACACACACACACACACACACTTGCAATTTTCATAGATTTAAGACATAGATATGGAGAATTAGTGGGAGGGAATTGAAAATTTTCTTGACATATTAATTTAATTTGTGTAAATTATATTGTTGATCAGGACCACAAGCAAGCTAAACGTCCTAATAATTTGTTCTAGGGCCAGGCTAAGTGTCTTGGTTTCGAGAAAAAGTAACACAAAAATGTATAAACTTGTAAGTTTTTACGCGCTCGATTTATGTTGTAGTACCCTACAGGTGAAAAAGGTGGAAGTGTTGAACAAGAGGAGGATAACAACGAGTCCATGTCTGCGCAATTGCCAGAGGGCTCTGCCCCTTGGACCCCGCTAGGGGCGCTGCCCCAAAACCCCACCAAAGGGGTGCCGCCCCTTTGGAAACCCCGGACCCAGGGGCTTTGCCCCCGGACCCCCGACTTATCGTCGATTCGGCTTCTAATTCGATCTTATATATGTGTGCACTCCGCACAAACTCATACATATATTAAAGTACAAATTATGAAGCCCCTTAGCTCACATGTTAGTTCCAGTTACATAAAATGACATGGTGACACTAAAATCACCAACACGCTAATGACATGAAATCGGTCGTTGATTAGCTCAGGAAACCCATGAATTATGTCAATGATTTTGCATTAGTGAAATAATGTTTTGTCGTCAGGTATGGTCGTTATCGTCATTTGTAGAGTGTCTGTTGACTACCGGCTATTTTATATCAAATCTTTGATACTCTATAAAAAAATTCACATATGAAATTGAAAATAATATATTACAAAATAAAAATTCTTGGAATTATATGTCCCATTCGTGTACAAAAACTATCAAAACTAAATATTCAAAATATCAAAATCAAATGACATACGTAAAAGTATCAAAATGGATGGATTGTTAAAAATATTAAGGTCTCAGGTGGATGGATTGCTTTTTAGGAAAACTTCTATAATTTTATTATATATCTTCTTGACTTCTTGGATATGAAAATAAAAATATAATCAAACAATAAATATAAAATGTTATAATGGGGTAGGATGATATGATAAACAAAGTAAAGCACTTGCATTTGTGGATTTGCACTAATCATATGAGTGTAATGGGAAATGGGAAATGGTGTTGGGATGTATTTTCTAGGATTTGCAATAATCATATGCTTATTAAACCTACGTAAATTTTAAAACAAATTTTCATTTTTCAAACACAATAAAACTCATGTGTATCAAATGCCATCACAATAAAACATATTCCAGAATCTCAAAAACATAATCCTCTGCTAGTGTGTACAAATCATGTCGGCGCCTTCCCGCGATCCTCGGTAGTACCTGAAACACATATCACATAACATGGTAAGCATAAATGCTTAGTGAGTTCCCCAAAATACCACATACAGCACATAAGCCACTCGAGGCTATAACTCGGTAAGACCCTCTGGTCAATGTGTCTCAGTGGGACCCTCCAGTCTCATAGCTCGTTGGGCCCTCCGGTCCGGTCTAGCTCGTTGGACCCTCTGGTCCGGTCTAAATCGTTAGACCCTCCGGTCCGGTCTGGTTGAGGACCCTCTGGTCTCGTAAGTCGTTGGACCTTCCGGTCCGGTCTAAATATCACATAGCATACATAAATCACAATGCACATAATCTCAAGTAAACACATAACACATAAGACCCTCCGGTCTGCACATAGACACCACTCTAGGTAATGTATAGTGAGAAAACTCACCTTGTAAGATGTCTAGTAAACTCTCTTGCTCGATATCCTCGATCTAGCCTCCGCCTAGCACAATGATAATAATTCTAATCAATACTCTCTTTACATCCTCATCTATAGAGAATGGGTAGAAGACCATTCCACCCCTCCCTGACCCCTCTTAATCAGTTTGACCAAACCCTAAGGTCAACTGAAGTCAACTCCAGTCAACGGTCCAATTTTGACCAAACTCGCCGAGTGCACCCTCGTGACTCGTCGAGTCCACTTATTTCCTCAGAAGTCTCGTGAAAGTCCAGCTCAGCTCGTCGAGTTGACCCCTAACTCGTCGAGCTATCGCATAATTCAGCTCTTCGGGACAAACCCTAACCAACTCGTCGAGTCGGCTCATTGACTCGGCGAGTTCATTCAGACCAAATGTTCATTCAGACGATTTCAATCAGATCTATCACTCCAAACACTAGATCTATCATATCAAGGCTCAATAATCACGTAAAGCTTTGATCTTTACATTCATACATGAGGTTATTGCTCCAAAATGCTAATACATGCCTTTCATGAATGATTAAGCCCAAAAACCCTCATATGGATGAATAAAGTTGGGACATCTAAACTCTAAGGACCTCACAAGGTCCAGATCTGAGGTCTAGACTTCTGGATAACACATGCTACTCAAAAACCCAACCAAAATGACAAAAGCCCTAAATTTTCATAGATATGAGATCCAACTAAATAGATGAGAAAGGTGTGGGCTTTTTACCTTCCAGAGAAGCTCTTTGAGAAGAAATGCTAGATCCCACAGCCTCATCCCACTCCTTGCTTGAAGCTCACTCCTCTTCTTCCAAAAAGGTCCATCACAACACTTAATACAACCTCAAGGACTCTCTCTTAGCTTCCATGGCCGCCTAGGGTTTCACACAGGAGAGTTGATTAGAAGATGAGCCGCAAATGAGGCTATAAGTGCCTTTAAATAGGTCACAGACCCGAAAGTTTAGGGTTTCCTTCACCAGCGCTGACTCGGTGAGTCGAAACACAGACTCGTCGAGTCAGCTCATTAATCCTCGTCACCCAACGTGACTCTACTCGACGAGTTGAGGCACTAACTCGTCGAGTCGCCCATGAAACTCATTATTACAATAGAAATGTCATACCCCGGAACCAGGATGTTACAATTCTCCCCCACTTAATTTAATTTCGCCCTCGAAATCGTTCTTCATTCACACTTAACTCGAACCTATAACTCGGATACCAACTTGTAACGACGTAAATTTTAAAACAATCTTTCATTTTTCAAACACAATAAAACTCATGTGTATCAAATGCCATCACAATAAAACATATCCCAGAATCTCAAAAACATAATCCTCTGCCAGTGTGTACAAATCATGTCGGCGCCTTCCCGCGATCCTCGGTAGTACCTGAAACACATATCACATAACACGTTAAGCATAAATGCTTAGTGAGTTCCCCAAAATACCACATACAGCACATAAGCCACTAGAGGCTATAACTCGGAAAGCAACACTAAAAAGGGCCTCATACCCCACTGATATCTTTTCTATGGACACCTGAATCCAAACAGAAACTCCCAAATCTAGAACAAAACTAACCCCTCTGCCGCTAAGATACCCCCCTTTCTGACCTCCCAAAAATCTGCAAGCTCTAGTGGCCTGGCCCGCCGCCAGACCGCCCACTCAAGATATCACTACGTTATTTGCTCCTCGAATAACAAACCCTGATAACCCACTGCCCCTCTAATT